GCTGACGACACAAATCAAGATTATTTCCTTTCTGGTGTGGAAGATCAGACTAAGCTGCAACCACAGAGCATACTCAGACAGAACCTTGACTCAGTTACCAAGATAAATCTTTTCTGATGTGGAAGATCAGACTATGCTGCAACCACAGAGCATACTTAGAAGTACCTTGGCTCTGATACCAATTGTTGCGGAAGTCAAATGTATATAGTGCGAATGAGTCACAACTACTATACCAAAAATTATGGTAGTCACCAAATAATAAATAAGACAATAAAGAAACAATAAAAGGAACACCAGAATTTACGAGGTTCGGCCAATTTTACCTACTTCCTCGGACACAACCAATACTTTATTCCACTCAAAAAATACAAGTGAAATAATACTAAAGAGAGAAGATACAAATGCCTTAAGAAGATAAGAAGCCAAATGAGAGGTGTGTTTAAATCCTAAACATTAGGCCTCCTTTTATAAGAAAAAAATCCCAATAATTTTTCTCCCCAACCGATGTGGGAGTTTGACAACTTCAACACTTAATTCTTCTTTCTTATTAGAGATGTTTACACAAATAACCGGTCAATTCATAGTTTAGTTAGTATACAAAGATTTTATGAATGAGAGTTTTGGCGTAACTGGTAAAGTTGTTGCCATGTGATCACGGATTTGAACCATTGAAACAGCCTCTTGCAAAAATGCAGGGTAAGATTGCGTATAATATGCCTTTATAGTCCGGTCCTTTCCCGGACCCCGCGCATAGCGGGCTTAGTGCACTGAGCTGCCCCACACTATTAAAAGTATCAAACTCCTTATAAGTACAATCTTTTTCTTTTCTCCTTTCCGTGTGAGACTTTCTTCACACACACTCAACAAGCAATCCGGTGCACTAAGCTCCCGCTATACACGGAATCCGAGGAAGGATCGGACCATAAGAGTCTATCGTGCGCAGTCTTAACTTCCTCTACCACCTAGTATAATGTAACAAACTAAAATATATAATACTATCTTAATTAGCTAATACATATATTAGACATGCGCAAGTTCTTTTTCTTTATAAAAACATAATAGTACATTGTACCGTGCTAAGAATATACTAACTACTAATCTATATCAATATTATATTAAAAGTATGAAAGTCCTTGATAAAATATTATTAATTTTTTTTACCCTTTGAAAATAGTTGAAGGTCTCTAGCGATTAGATTCATGATTTACTTTATAACGAATTAATTATTCGAATAGATTTAATCAAAATTACACACTCATTCTTAATCTAGTGACTCTAAAATCTTGATTTGTTTGTGCAAATAGAAAAAGAACCTTTGAACTAACCACGTTAAATATTTTTGTCTCTTTTGGCATATTTCTCTTTTGTTGTCTGATTTATTGTCGTTCAAAGTTTGCTTTACTAGATATCTGGATACATTTATAATATAATGGATTTTTATACTATATATTCAGAGTATATTTTATTAATTTGTTAGATATCTGGTGGCTAGATGTTCAGAGTATATTTTATTAATTTGTTAGATATCTGATGGCCAATGCTATAGCAGTATGACAAATGACAGTTCAAAGAGTATGGACATTTTGAATTAGAAATGCAGGACCTCTCTGACAATTCCACAAGCTCCACTCACTTTCAAGAAAAATGTAGCACGGAGGTTTAATTTTAATCAGATAGTTTAACAGGCTTTATAGCAGATTAACAGAAAAATTTGCGAAAAACAAAGATTGAAATAATGAACTAAATACATGCTAATGGCTTGGTTCACTTTTGCATATAGTTCTTCTCCTTCTAATCCACTACCCCGGGCGGAGCAGAGGTTGCAGAATTCAGTAGATTTGGTTGTAACTGTGTATGTATTACAAAAATACTTTAAATATGTACACTTAAATTAGTACAAAGAGCTATAATACTCACAACTTATTTCCTCTTATAGGCAGGGGCAGATTTAGGGGGGGCGGAGGGGGTTCCGAACCCCCTTCGTCGAAAAATTACATTGTATATGTATGGTAAAATCTGTATTTTATCTCTATATATTAAGTTTTGAATCCCCTTAACACAACCCAAAAGTCTAGTTTAGTGGTCAAGGGGGTTTAAATTTTTTTTTAAATCATAGGTTCAATTCCCACTAACTATTTGAAAAATCAAACATGGGACTATCTTCACAAACAATCTTGTTATTTGAAGAACTTCATCCCTTTACTTTTATGCAACTAGATTTTGATGTAAATGGCACTAGTTCCTTTTATTCAGAACACTGTTTGTAATTTCGTTTTTAATTAATACAATTCTCCGTTTAAGCAAAAAATAAAAAAAATAAAGAGCTATAATTCAGTCGGTCAGTAATGTACAGAGAGCTGTAATTCAGACTGTCACTAAAGTACCAAGAGTAATTAATGTACACGATATTTTTCTAAGGAAATTCGTACTTCAGGGAGCGGAACCAAAATGTGGTTTATTTTTACTCAAAATACTCAAATAAGTGTAACAAAAAAGTTACCAAACTATATATAACGCCACTAATAGTGGCGCTATACAGTAACGTTAACTGTACCGTTACTGTATAGCGCCACTATTAGTGGTGTTATACTGACAAACCTTACATAGCGCCACTATTAATGGCGCTATACAGTAATTACCTGAAGACATAGCGCCATTAATAGTGGCGCTATACCCCTTAATACAAATCCTTCATCTTCTTCTTCTTCGTTCCATCTCCCTCATTTTCATTTCTGGTCCCCCACCACCACTACCACCACCGATTCTGCCCCCATTTTAAAAAAAATAAAAAATTTGGGTCCCCCCGTCACATAAAAGTTTAATATTTGTGGTCCCACTATCGAGTAGAGCTTCGTGTGATTGTGGATTCACTCTTCCGGAGTCAAAATTTCGATCTATCTACATTTANGTGGATTTATTGTGGGAGTTTTTGACTCCTCCCCGCGTTCTACATCCCCGTGTGGTCCATCACTGGAGGAGATGGAATTATATAGGATCATTAGCATTGGCCGGATACAGCTCGACTATGCTTTGATCACGACGTTGATTGAGCGGTGGCGACCGGAGACACACACTTTCCATCTGCCCATCGGCGAAGCCACCATCACACTCCAGGACGTCGAGATTTTATATGTCCTATCCACCGATGGCTTGCCAATTTTACTGCCTGGGAATATGAGATATTTTAACCGGGCTTCATATATGGATATGCTGCACAGGCTCACGAGCTTCAGGTCCGAGGACCCAGATGTAGCAGTTGGGAGCAGTCGTATGCAGTTGGTCCCCATTAGAGACCACTTGGTACAGATCCACGATACTATCACCGACGACTCAGCGGAGGTGGATGTGGAGCAATATACGAGGCTGTTGTTGCTCCTTCTATTTGGGGGGGTCTTGTTCCCGAACACTTCGGGGAACCTAGTGAGCCTTCGTTTTCTGCATCATATTGCGGACTTTGATGATACAGTCAGCTACAGCTGGGGTGGTGATGTCCTATCTTTTTTGTACAGGCAGATATGCCGGGCAACCATGGGCACACAGAGAGACGTTT